CCACCTTGGTAGGATGGACAAGCTTTGACCAGCATGCTGCATGGGACAGCCGGCTCGCGGTGTTGATGTGGGATGTGAATACGGTCGACATGGCGGACGACGACGTGGTTGGTCCAACCTTGGACCTGCGACATGGTTGCTGGCGGCTAGGTTGTTTGCAGGGCATCTGGCGGCTGTCCAAGGACCATTGAGCCATCGGTCCTTGAGCTCTTGACGAGGCTGGCCTCCGATGCGTCAATTGATGATGGTGCCGCTCTGGGGGTGAAGGCATGGAAGAGCGGCGAGCCAAGACGTCGTGGTTGACCTTGTTGACGCATCGACGTCGTGATTGGCTGGCTTCCGCTCTGGACTAGGTCGTGGAAAGCGGCCGCTTAGTGGACCACAGGGGAGCTATGTGAATCTTCACATCCGTTCAGCCAATTAGATGGCTATCTGGCGTGACAAGCTGGCTTAATGCCGGCCTCCGTGCTCAGGCTTGCAGGACCTGGGCGGCAATGCGCGCGTCAGGATTCGCTGCAAATGGACTAGGCCTGATCCCACATGAAAGTCGTCAACCTGTCGCTTCAATGCTCCGGCATAGACTTTGCATAGATGGCATGGCCAGCCACGGCCACCAGTTCTTCGTCGCACTCGCCTTATTTTTTAATCCATTTGCTTGCTGCTGTGTCTTGTTCGACAGTGCCAGTCACGAAAGCATTTGTCTTGAGTCTTGAGTCTTGACGACCAAGGTACCAGTTGACCCTTGCAGGCGCCTGTTTTACGACAGGATACTAAAATATGTCATGTTGGCTCAAGCTTGCGAAGGCATACTGGACCATTGCCATTGTCGGCCAATATATTCCGACCATGTTGGCTGAGACGCTGCCAAGTACAGACCGGATGGCAAAAGTATCGGTCTCACGGACCCATTCCGTCAATCATCATCGACTTTTGGCCCCCATGCATGTTGTCAAAGTTCATCCGCTGCATGTCTGATCCTCCCGTCGCAAAACCGCCGAAAGGACCAGACCAGCCTCACATACTCACAAAACATGTACTATTTTGCCCACCGACTTGGATCTTGCCGCCCGGGCCTCGGTCAGGTTCAGCACCAGCGTTCAGAGTGGTGCTTCTTGATTCGGCACGCCATCTTTGTATCATTGGTTAATGGAACGTCGGCTTCAATGTGCCAACCTGTGGCTGTTTCTTAAAACTAATGGAACTGATGTAGTTCTGCCAGGTACCATGCTCTATTGCATGTTGTGCATCCTTCTGCGGAGAGCTCCGGATCTGATACTTTTTTGTTATTCCAGCATCAGTGGAGTCGACATCATATTTGTCATCCCATTGTGTGACAGTGAGCTTGACTTTTTGCCATGCTTCCATCTGCCAACTAGCTATTCCGCCGTTCTGAGTCGCATGGCCACCACCTTGTAAAAATAACCTGATATGAAGGCTGCAATTTCACCAAGTATTGAAGAGTCTAATTCTTTTATACGAACAGCAGCCCAAGGCTCAAGCATGAATACTTACTTTGATAATTTGCTGATCTATGTGTGCTGTTGATATAGAGTCCAAGGGTCTCACAATCCCGCGCCGCGCCCTTCTCCGAATCACCACCGCATCGCAGCATGCTCAATTTTTGCATCATTTTAACAAAATTCTAAACTATTTGGAGATAAACACTCTCCATTGTGACATTTGTGTAAACAAGACGCGTCTCCGAAACAAGGTGCCGGTCCGCTGGCAAAACTAGACCTCGAGGTTGTAAGCCTTATCCACCCCTACAGCTCTAAAATTTGAGTCAATGGAAAATTTGTCGGTCATGATGCTCTCCCAAGATAATTCACTATGTGATAACGTGGGTATGACCACTCCAGAATACACCATCACAAGCTGGGCTAAGAACTGTCAGATGGCCACTGGTCAACGTAGGCAAGACCTGAACTTGACGATGTACAATGGAGGACAAAATTATGGCATTGGTAGCATCACTTACATCTCAAGGAACAGAACTTTGGGACTTGGTGGGTTTGAAGCTATTTTTAAGAGTTCCGTGATGATGATGATGTAGCTGAGAAGGTTTGGGAGTGAAACTGGGATGGTTGCTCGGAGGTGTAACAAAACCTGGACAAACTCTATACCCAGTGGAGGTATACTGTTCAAGATAGTACAATTTTTTATTTTTTTATATATTTTTTTTTCGTAGTAATTCAATCAACACAGCCGCTAGATCATGCCATTAGTGACGAGCAATAAACACAGATGCAAGTCTATGGCAGCTCGACTCAGTGCCCGTGCTACTCTATCGAGCACTCTCGACATGGATGAGTAATATGGGTGGCAGTCTCTACTTGGTCCAAAGCCATCAATATTCAGGATTAGTCACAGTTGGCCTCGTCTTTCAGGCGATAGCAACGTGGTTGTGGTGGCGGTACATGAAATGATAGTAGCCCGCACCTAATATCATGTCTTCACGTCCCTCTGGTTGTGGCAACATTGAAGACTTGCTCGTGAAAACTGCCTGTGTCCGAGGTCAGAGGGGCAAGCAACCGACTTTCAACCGGGGAGGGGCATTGGGTCGTTATCAGCATATCAGGCCCTAAAGGGACTAGCGTAGAGTCATCTCTCTCGCAATGACTGCACACGAGGAATTTTGACTGCTTCAAGGCTAAAACCCCAAGATTTCGTGAGCTTCGCGCAGCAACGAAAAGTGGCGATTCTTCTGCGTGAAACTTGTCGAGGCACTCAGTGAACTCCAATTTTCCGGACTCAGCGACTCTATATCCACCAACGCTCCTGTACCGTGTGGCCGAGACCGAATTCAAAACCGCAAGGAAACCTGCAAAAGCGACGATTTATTTCTGCCCCGCCAAAACCCTGCCCACCATGTCGAACGGGGACCCCAAGTACGACGACATTGACTCCGAGTCTGACTCCGGCGACTCCATCGACCAGCACAACGAGGTTGGCGATGGCTTGGATGAGAAGCCTCGCAAGTCTGCGCTCAAGAAGCCCGCCGCCGTCGCTCCTGAGCCTGCTGTGCAGAGACCCCCGCTGCCGCCGCAAACCGATCCCAAAGATCTCGATGTATCCAGCCTCACGCCTCTGACTCCTGAAATTATTGCGCGTCAAGCCACCATCAACATTGGTACCATCGGCCACGTCGCCCACGGAAAGTCTACTGTGGTCAAGGCCATCTCTGGCGTCCAGACTGTCCGTTTCAAGAACGAACTGATCCGAAATATTACCATCAAGCTGGGCTACGCCAACGCCAAGATTTACAAGTGTGACAACTCCGAGTGCCCTCGGCCAGGATGCTACCGAAGCTACAAGAGCGAGAAGGAGGTCGATCCTCCTTGCGAGCGAGACGGATGCAGTGGTACCTACAGATTATTGAGACACGTCTCGTATGTGCTCCCCTCCTTTTGTATCCCTCATCTCAATGGCCCGGAGATTATAGTGAGGCTAATCAAGCATCTTCTCATCAACCAGATTCGTTGACTGCCCTGGCCACGATATTCTCATGAGCACCATGTTGTCGGGTGCTGCCGTCATGGACGCTGCCCTTCTCTTGATTGCTGGCAACGAATCTTGCCCTCAGCCACAGACTTCGGAGCATTTGGCTGCCATTGAGATTATGAAACTGGACAAGATTATTATCCTACAAAACAAGGTCGATCTGATGAGAGAAGAAGCCGCCCAGCAGCAATATGAATCTATCCTCAAATTTATCCGAGGAACCGTTGCTGGCAAGTCACCCGTCATCCCCATCTCCGCCCAGCTCAAGTTCAACATTGATGCCGTCAACGAGGCCATTGTCAACACCATCCCGGTCCCTCCCAGAGACTTCACCATGGACCCCCACATGATTGTCATTCGATCATTTGATGTCAACAAGCCTGGTGCTGAGATTGACGACCTCAAGGGTGGTGTCGCCGGTGGGTCCATTCTGCACGGCGTCGTCAAGCTGGGCGACGAGATTGAAATTCGACCGGGAATCGTCTCCCGTGACGACAGTGGTGCCCTCAAGTGCACACCCATCTTCTCCCGCGTCGTCTCGCTCAACTCCGAGGCTAACGACCTCAAGTACGCCGTTCCCGGCGGTCTTATTGGTGTCGGTACCCGCATCGACCCTACCCTCTGCCGAGCTGATCGTCTCGTCGGTTTCGTCCTCGGTCTCAAGGGCAGACTCCCCGAGATCTACAGTGAAATCGAGGTCAACTTCTACCTGCTGCGTCGTCTGCTCGGTGTTCGGACCGCCGACGGCAAGCAGGCCAAGGTCGCCAAACTCGCTCAAAACGAGTTCATCATGGTCAACATCGGTTCCACCTCCACCGGTGCCAAGGTCGCTGCCATCAAGAACGATGCAGCCAAGCTTGTCCTCGTCAGCCCTGCTTGCACCAATATTGGCGAAAAGGTGGCACTCAGCCGACGTATCGAAAAGCACTGGCGTCTGATCGGATGGGCTACCATTACTGCGTAAGTCTTGCTTCATTCTTATACTGCTACCTTTGCTCTTTAAAGACATGTAGAGAATCTAACCCTCAGCCAATAGTGGTGTCACTCTGGAGCCTAGCACCTCCTAATTCACAAATGTACGGTTATGACGGGATGAGGAGCGTAATATGCCACAGAGGTCGGTTGCTAGAAAAAGTGTTTACAGTGACAAGCGCCTCGAACGCCTGTATCCCCAGTTTGTTGTTAATACCAGAGATGGCTGGGCGCAAAATGGGGCTGGGTACAAAATGGTTTGCTGGAAACTCAGAAGAGGACGACGGCGCAGAAGGAGAGTTGACAGTGGCAGCAGCAGCGCATGGCGTATCCCTGGCGTCTACTGAATTAGTAGCCCCCATGTTGCTCATAAGCCAGCCGCGACTGTGTGCTGTAGGGTGCATCATGGGATCCGAAATCCTTATTTGCAACAATTCGTATAAGACGAGGACATACACAAAACACCTAGACCAAAATCGAACTTGAGAAGAAAAAAATTGGACATTATTTGTTTGTCGTCTCTTGTATTATTTCCTCACTTTCCGTGCATGCTTGACCAAGTTTTCTATAACGCCTTCAAACGCTTCCCTATCGCCTATCTTCTCGTCTGTTCGTTTCTTCCAGTATTCCAGGATTTCGTTGGCTGTTCCTTGCATGGCTTCTAGTTTAGAAACATGCGCCTTTAATTCTTCATTCGTCATGCCATCCAGTGCCTCGTCCGTCGTCATGCAGAGGTATCGGGCGGCAACCAAATCCAGCTCGGGCTGGGGAGGCGGTCCTTTCCTCTTTTTGGAGCCCCTGGGCTTGCCCTCCGTATCTACTGATGTTGATGAAGCGTTTCCTTCGCTCTGTTGTAACCTGGATGCGGACCTTGAATCGCTCGACCTCCTAGGTGACGTGGCCCGTATATTGAGAGAAGGAAGAACCAGCTTCTTCTGCTTGGATGCTGGAAGAATTTCATCCAAATCTACAGGCACACCTAGTGAAACGAGGAAGAGACGGCGAGTGCGAGACCGAATCCAGTCAGGTGGCGCAAGAGGGGGAGGAGCGACCAGCTGAGACCAGAGTGAGGCCGATCTTGGAGTGAGGAATATGGATGACTCTTGGGGGAGTGTCTGCGGAGGAGGGAAGCCTAGCTCCCCGGGGGGAAACACGCTGTCCAAGCATGGCTCGGCTGTCGACATTACTTCATCCGGCCCTAAGCCGTCGAAATCGGGTATCGACTGCATGACGTTGTTAGAAGGCATTTGATCAGGGGCGAAAGGGTGTTGTTCTTACAAATGGTAGTATGGATGGCTGAACCGTGGGCGGAGCTTGTGTAGCTGCTGCTGTTGGTTGTGGTTGTTGAAAGCCGTCCTCAAACTCATCAAAATCATTATCCTGTCCTCCTTCTTCGAAGTCTTCGAAATCATCCCCGAAACCGTCCCCATCATCTTCGTCCGCGTTCTCGTCGCCTCCATGTTCAGCATGTTCATCACCCGCCGCAATCTCAACGTCCGGCTTGACATCAGTACTTGAAAAGCGCTGCGGGGCATCAACTGAGTCAACCGGCTCCAATACGGTAACAGGTACTTCCTGTTTAGATACCTCGGTCGGTATTTCGGTCTCAGGATCATCTTGCTGGGCAATTTCTTCTGATTTTGCATCGGCATCCATCTTCTCTTTTGTCTCCGCGGCTGGAACCTTGACGGGAGAGGAACTTGAATCGACATTCTCAGCTCGTGGTTTCGGCACGGGAGAAGTTACATGTGGTGTTGCGGTCCCGGACTGAGCATCTGTGAACTGATCGTCGGAATCTGAGGACTCTGGCTCAGCTGCATAGCAGTTAGCATATATTACTGCATACGTTGGCAGTCACAGAGGTGCAGAATGCATACATAGTTGATGTGCCCCAGGGTCAGTCTTGCCCATCTCCGGAGGGGGTTTCAGGCCCTCAGATGCCGCCATAACTGTAGTGGGAGGTATTCAACGACTTGCTGCTTGTGATCAATATCGAGACGGCAATTTAGCGTACAATTACTGTCGTGTCGGCCCCTGAACAAAGTCCCAACCAGTTGTGTGACAATGTGGCATAAGTGGACAGACCAGTACGGCCTCTTGGTCGTGACGCTCGGTATTTACGAATTCCAGCCTCAAATCATGCTGCGACGCGATCAGTGATGCACTTGGGTCAGCATAATCCGCCGTGGAATAATCGCTTCCAATGTTTCCCTCTCGGATCTGGTCACGTTTCATATGAACAGTCGACGAGTCGGCGTTCGAGGCGTCGAGGTCGCTCTATCACGTGGGGCTCATTAATTAGGCCTGCATAGTCGCACAGCATTGTTCGAGCTTAGAGAGGTATGTACATAGGTACATATGTACTTCAGATACAGTATAGAGACAGTGCAGGGTGGAGTACACGTACCTTCAAGGCTGCGCCCAAGCCTCTGGGTTTTGGCGCGGCCAGTCCAGCCTGGCGCGTGGAACTGGACATCGCCAAAAAATAAAAAAGCTGCCAAACCTCGAACTCTGCCGCGCAAGCTTTTGCTATCTCGACGATTGTATCCCAACCACATCGCGACGAGCATTGGGCAGGCTGTATCGGCAGTGAGTCAGCCAGCCTCCACTATAGGACTTGGTATGGTGGTGTTTGAGACTTTAGGATTTCTTCTGCCGTCGTCCACGCCGCCCTTCTTCGCAGGTCCGCCCGCACCCTAGGAAACGATCCGTCTTCCAGATAGCCAAAACTACCATGTCGTTCACATTCGGAACCCAGGGCTCATCGAGCGCGCCATCCAATAATGCGACGACTACTGCACCGGCTTCTGGTGGCCTCTTTGGGGCCACTTCATCTGGAAGCACCCCTTCCTTCTCGTTTGGCTCGCTAGGTAGCACCGCCGGCAACAACACAACTCCAACAAACAGTGGTGGATCTATGTTCGGTCAAAAACCAGCGGGCGACGCGCAGAAGCCAGCGGGCGGTCTATTTGGGGGAGCAGCTTCGTCTTCAAACACGGCATCAGCACCAACATCTGGGACTCTGTTTGGAGGAACTTCCACAACCCCCGCGGCTGGCAGTCTCTTTGGCGGAACAAGCAATACTTCCTCTACGCCTACATCAGCAGCCCCTGCATCTACTGGGCTGTTTGGAGGAGGTAGTGGCGCTCTTGGAGGCTCCAACACTTCCTCTTCCAAGCCAGCTTCTGGTACCTTGTTTACTGGCCTTGGTTCATCGTCTGGCAGTGGTCTCTTCGGCACCCAGACCAGCAGTGGACAGTCTCAAAGTACGACTACGACAGCTGCAGCGCCCTCGTCTGGCTTGTTCGCAAATTCCGGAAGCTCTTTGTTCGGAGACAAAGCCAGCGCAACTCCTACTTCGAACACGCTGACTACAACCCCAACTACTGCCACTGCGGCAACACCAGCCAAGCCTATGTTTTCCCTGCCATCGACTACTCCAGCGGGAGCTCCCCCGACTGATTCATCGAAGCCCGCATCTACAACCGGGATGGCTGCCGGTGGACTCTTTGGCAGTGCTGCACAGCCAACCACCTCGTCAGCCTCAACATCCGCCGCCCCGGCTACTTCTGGACTTTTCGCGGGCGCACAATCTGGAGGCGGATCTTCTGCAGGAAGTCTTTTTGGCAATAAACCGACAGCTACAACCGGAGCTCCTGCTGGTGGTTTGTTTGGCGCCCCCGCCAGCAGCACGCCATCTACTTCGGCAACCTCTGCACCAGCCGCAGCTACCACAGGGTCGGCAGGCTCATTGTTCGGTGCGAAAGCTGCTGATGCTGTGGGTTCAACCGCTCCCGCTTCAACAACTACCAGCAGCAATCTCTTTGGCGGAACTGCCGCCAGCTCTGCCACCACATCTTCGTCTACGCCTGCAACCGCTAGTAGTACTACAGGGGGGTTATTCGGAAACAAGCCGGCGACTGCCACGACCTCTTCAGCAACTCCAGCTGTTACCTCAACGGCAGGTGGTCTGTTCGGGGGCGGCCAGGCTGGTTCTACTGCTGCAACCAAACCTGCGTCTTCTCTATTCGGTTCAACTGCTGCTGCATCAACGCCTGCTCAGCCCACGGCCGCAGCCGCCACGTCGATGGCAGCACCGACGGCGGCACCCACTTCAACTGCTGGAGGCTTATTTGGCTCCAAACCTGCGACAGATGCAAGTAACAAGGACAATGCCAGCAAGGAGGAGCCTAAACCCACGACGCAGAATGGCACCACCAGCGCCCTTGGTGCTTCCACAACTGGTCCAACTTCGCAGATGGCTAGACTGAAGAACAAGACCATGGAGGATATAGTCACTCGATGGGCTTCAGACCTAACTAAGTATCAAAAAGAGTTCAAGGAGCAAGCTACCACAGTGTCGACCTGGGATCGCAGCTTGGTTGATAACGGCGAAAAGATTCAGAAGCTTTACCTTGATACTTTCGAAGCTGAACGAGCCAGCCATGAAATTGAACGTCAGCTAGCCGCTGTGGAAAGCCAGCAAGAGGAGCTAGAAGCGTGGCTCAATCGCTACGAGTCAGAGGTGCAGGACATGTTTGCCAAACAAATTGGTCCTGGAGAGCAGCTTGGGGGACCTGATCAGGAGCGTGAGCGCACATATAAGCTGGCTGAAAAGCTAACGCAACAGTTGGATGAGAAATCTAGAGATCTCTCAAAGATGGTGAAGGAAATCAACGACATCTCTGGGACTTTGAGCAAGGGGACCAAGACCGAAGATCCCGTAAGTATTCATTTAGTTCCCTTGTCTTGTGTCTCACTGCTAAGACAACTTTCACAGCTGAGCCAGATCGTGCGGGTTCTCAATGGCCATCTCACGCAGTTGCAATGGATTGATGCAAATGCATCGGCATTACAGGCCAAGGTTTCGGCTGCACAAAAGTCCAGCGGCTCCCTGAACAACCACTACACTGGACCAGAGAGCGATGCTGCCGAGGGCTTCTACCGCTCTTACTACGGACGCCGATAGGGGAGTAGGCAAATGGTTGACATGGCCTTTTGGAATATATGTAACGGAGTACTGGAGGGCAATTAGGTCGATGACATTTTTCGGGCAATCACATGTTTTTGAGAGGAAGTTTAATGGAGACACAGAGCTGAAACATTGTCCCGATACTCGAAAATTACAACGATTAGCAGGTATTTGTACACTAGCTTAGACTGTGGCACAATCACATAAGTCTTTGATGATGAAAAAAAATTGTTGCCACATTGATTTTCAGTTCTTCCTTTCCTTGGGATGTAGTAGATGCAACCTTTCGGCAAGAAATCGTAACCTTGGTGTCTGAAGCTTCTACAGTCGCGACGGAGGAGGCGTTACCAGCGGGCGTCCGGGACGATATTTAGTTCTTCTCACCACCCTGATCGCGGGTGATCTCCTCACTGCGCAGATGTTCTGTCAGTATCAACCCATGGCATTTCCGAGGTCGCATAACGCATTTCGGAGACGAATCAATGCGGGGACTTCAGACTAACATGTGGTCAGAGAGGCGCTGAAGGTGCTGCTGCTGTTCAGCGAGCTTCTTCTTGAGCTCCGGGAGACGCTCCTTCTCACGCTGGCGGATGGCCCAGTCCTCGCTGGCGCGCTCACGGCGCTGGAAAGCGTCACTGTAAGTAGCCCAATTGCACCCCGGTCAGTTAATGGAACCAGAAACTTCAGTTTGCATAGAGGGGATCTGCTGTCTTTCCCAGCGGTCCTCCTGGAGGGGGGAAGCTGGTTCGCAGCGGAAGAAAGTAACTCACCCAGGGCCGCCGGTCTTGGGAGGCGCGCCGGTATCACCCTCGCCCATGGCTCGAGCAGTAGTGGTGAAGGTAGCTCTGAGGGGACGGAATGCGGCCGTCTTGGTAAAGGTTGTGCGGAGCATGATGGGCACAATTGGGATGCGAGTGTGGGAGGCAGAGTAATGGTGGTGGTGATGTTTTTACGTATGACGTGCGGGCATTATTGAGGTTTTGGGGGAGCTCGGAGAATGGGCTGATGCTATGCGCCACATGAGTGGCCAGAGCTCGACGATAGTAGGGTACACAGTGAATGTGCCACGGCCCACAGAAATAGTATGTATTTTTCCAACATCGTGGGTGGCTGCTTCCTTGATCCGCAAATTTCCACTCACGACGAATGGATGCAAGCGAACAGAATCCAATTCGTGCCTCTTGATGTAAAACAATCAATCAAGGCGCCATTATTTTGTACCTTCATCTATGTTTACAGCTCCCTTTGCTTATGTCATGGCATGACTCAAATGCACAGTCCTAGCTACGCTACTAATATGGCAACTCTAATAGCAACACGTTCAGGGTTCATCACACCTTGATGCCCAGGCAGGAAATTTTCACAACGGGAGAAACATTGAAAAACCCTGGAAAGAGCCAGTGAAATGCCGAGTTCCGGTGGACACGGTTCGTTCTGGCGGGCATCAGATCTACTGCCCAGAGATAAACTCCTAGGCATTGGCTGCTCGGTACTCCGTACGCCGTGCTTTTATGGGGGAGACGCACAGCATAACAATGCTTGACCATTCGCATGAACAGGGGCTGGAAATTCTTCGTTTTCCTAGGCAGAAAACAACATGCCATTAACGGGCTGCATGAATACACCGGCATTGAACCCGTGGAGCGATAAAGCGTTGTAACGATGCGCGGGTTGTGATGGATATTCCAATGTTACGAAGCGCCGGGTCGTTACGCAAGTGGCGCCCGCGAAACCGAGGCTTTACCTTGAGAGCAAACTTATTGTGCAGAACAGAGAACTCCAGAAAATGACTATAGGCGCCCACGACGACCGGATAATACTATTTGACGTTCACGACGATCAAAGACTAGCCGGAATCAAGGACAAGGGAAGGGGTAAGCCCTCGCCTCGAGTCCCGTGGGCGTGCGTCAACATTCGACCCCACTTCCCTTAAAGGCATTGGGAAGGCAGCAGAGACTTACCCTACGAAATACGAGCGAAAGGGGACGTGGAATCGTTTTCAGCAAGGCAGGGCTGCCGGCATTGGCTACATGTTCTGGCCTTATATTGGCGCTGATTATTCGCGTCATCACGACGGACCCTCCGCACCATTTGGGACGTGTCGCTGTTCTCGGAGGAGAGCCTTGGGTCCTGCATTAGGTACATTAGGTACCTAGTAGGTATTTGCTCAACTGAGCTCTGTCGCCACTCAGCACCGCGGTGAGGCCATCGTGCTTGTATCTGCTACACAAGGTAGCCGCTTGCCACGCGGAACACACGTGAGAGATGCCCCACGCACGAGGTATCAGGTACTTTGCCTGCCCGAGGTGATATGTTCTGAAGTAGCACCTTGCTCCCACTTGTTGCCGGTGACAAGTACTTGGGACGCAGCCGGGTTGGGGCTCGAGGGTGTGCTGAAGTTGAAGTGAGCAACAGGTTACTACCAACTGGTCACTAACAGCCGAGCAGAGGAGCAAGTCATATAATAACTAGTACCTGGTTGAGGCGCAACCTGAGCATAAAGAAGTGCAGTCCTCCGCCCAGAGCCCACTTGGAATCAGCGCTAGGGCAGCTCCAGATGCTTGAAGACACCAAAGGCAGGGCGGGTGGCGATCCAAGTCAATCACTGCGACGGAGCTGGGTGGCCCCGCACTCCGCAGAACCAGGCTGGACTCAAGGCACTGGCTGCCTGGCAACTTTGCGCAGGTGAGCAACTCGGGCGGGCTGTTGTTGGTTGTCTGGTGGCTGTTGGCCCAAGGGTTCAATGTTGGCTGCTGGCTACTGCCGCACGTTGGCTGGTAGTTAAAACTGCTAGGTGCTAGTACAGTCTATGGTAGAATACATCTGCCCACTAAAAAGTAAACACTAGCATGCTATAGTATATTATAGTGTGGAGCGCGATAGCCAGGTACCTGATCTGGCGAAGCACTTTGCCTCCCACTGCCCGCCTGCCTGTGCTGCTGGCTGCTGGCTGCTGCGTTCCGGCCTCCGTCCCGAGCCCCTTCTCACTTTCCATCACATCCCACGCTTTTCGCTCATCAAACATCAAATCCAAACTCCCAACAAACAACAACCACATCCATTCGCGGCCACGCTGTCGTCCCTTGTTCAGCTCCCTCCTCCTGATCCCCCTCCGGAATACTTTCTCGTCCAACTGCCAACTTTCTACATTCGGTACGTGCCTCGCCTGTCGATTCTGAAATGTGCTGTCCCTCTCTGCTGCTTCATCCCTACGGCGCACCCCTCCCTCCCCTCTGTCGTCATGGCGCCTCCTCCCACGCCCGCTCCCTTGGGTGAGGAGATTTGTGATGCACTGTTCCTACAGCCTCATCACCACAACTGCCGAGCCCTGTTGCTGCGCTGCACGAGCCATCGAAACTCTCCATCCCTGAGAACATGGGTGCCGTATTCCATTGGAGGCTCAAACGCGCCAGCTCGACTCAAACGAACCTGCTGTCGTCTCGTCGAACCCCACCAAAGACGAGAAATTGGCTTACGCAGAGCCGACGCGAATGCCCACAAGGCTTCCTCGGCTTCGAGACATTGAGTCCCCGTTTGGCTCCGTCTGATGGTGCAAATTGGCCGTGGCCTCGAGATTGGCAGCGTTTCGAGCAGGTGCCTGCCCAGACTGTCGATGGCCTCTGACCGCCCTCCACGAATCTCGGAGTCAACGGACGTGGTCTGACGGGGCTGGGCCGCAACAAGTCACGCGACTTTATTACTTACGAAATTGCTTCTATCACGAGCTTGCGCTAACTTGTAATTGCTCACGCACTAGCCAAAACCACCATCAAAATGGGTCACGAAGATGCAGTCTACCTGGCCAAGCTCGCCGAGCAGGCTGAGCGATACGAAGGTTAGTTGGTCCTGTTGTCTCGCAACTAACCCACTGTCTACGGGGATGGCTTTGCGCTGACTTGTTCGTCAACTTTCATCTAGAGATGGTCGAGAACATGAAGATTGTCGCCTCTGAAGACCGCGACCTGACTGTCGAGGAGCGCAACCTTCTGTCCGTCGCCTACAAGAACGTCATTGGTGCTCGCCGTGCCTCCTGGAGGATAGTCACTTCTATTGAGCAGAAGGAAGAGTCTAAGGGCAACTCGTCCCAGGTCACCCTCATCAAGGAGTACCGACAGAAGATCGAGGCCGAGCTCGCCAAGATTTGCGACGATATCCTTGATGTCCTCGACAAGCACCTGATTCCCTCTGCCAAATCTGGCGAGTCCAAGGTCTTCTACCACAAAATGTATGTTCCACGTACTTGCAATGTGGACTAGCCAGCCCATTGCACACACTTTTTTTTTTGCCCTTGCCTAATTTTGTCCTTTCAAACCGTACAGGAAGGGTGACTACCACCGTTACCTCGCCGAGTTCGCCATTGGTGACCGCCGCAAGGACTCTGCCGACAAGTCCCTCGAGGCTTACAAGGCTGCTACTGAGGTTGCTCAGACGGAGCTCCCTCCCACTCACCCGATCCGCCTGGGTCTTGCCCTCAACTTCTCCGTTTTCTACTACGAGATCTTGAATGCCCCCGACCAGGCTTGCCATCTTGCCAAACAGGCCTTTGATGATGCCATTGCTGGTATGTTGACCAAAGCCATCCTATCTGTCTCGTGACATATCCGATGCGAAACATATCTAACCACTCGGAACAGAACTTGACACTTTGAGTGAGGAGAGCTACAAGGACTCCACTCTCATTATGCAGCTTCTGCGTGACAATTTGGTACGTATAGAGACTCTATCGAGTGCCTGGAGTCACCAGCTAACATCTCCTGGTAGACTTTGTGGACTTCTTCCGAGGCCGAAACCTCCGGCGCCGCTGGCCAGGCCGATGCTCCTGCCAAGGAGGAGTCTGGTGCTGCTGCTGAGGCCCCTGCCGCCGCCGAGCAGACAAAGGCCACTGAATAAAATGGGTGATTGTGTTGCCAAAATAAATGCTTTGATCACTATGGTATCCGGCGGGCTGGTGTCTACGGAGTGGACGGAAGACTCGTTATTTTTTTGTGTTTGATCAAGAGCTTCGGCATCTTTTAGGTAAACGTGCGTATACAATGGATGGAGACGTCGAATATGCCCCTACGGGCTGGCACTGAGGCCTAAAGGAGAGCATTTTTTCTTTGAAGTTCTGCTTTTAGACCCTTGATGCTTGCGATCGTCTGGACAAATAAAAAATACTAAAATTGCTTTCAATACACGGAACAAATGGGTCCAAACTTTGCCGCCCGAACACTTGCGTTGAAATTGCCCGTGATAGATTGTTGCATGACACGACCGTTGCTAGCCACGACGGGGAACTTGGAGCTGTTCACTTGGAGAGCCACTCTACAAGCCTAATTGCCACGATGGGTTTGTCAACTTTGGTCTATTGGATCGTCATCTAGAGGTGTAACATCATCCACCACGGCAAAATGAACCCGTAGCCACAAACTACAATCTTGACAACCCACCATCAGCTCACCCCCATCCTCGACCTCTAACAGATCTTTCTCCCCAAACAAATAGCCCCTCACATTCCCACACCGACATGATCTGTACCACCGCTCCCTGGCCTCGTCGTACGGCAAATCGTCCAAATCTACATTCTCAACACCCGTCTGAAACCTCTGTCCTGAATCCGGTCCAGCGGAGCCAGAAAACGTCTGAGCCTGACGGAGTTTGGCGTCGTACTCTGTGCGTTGCCGGGGGGCAGAGAGGACCGTGAATGCGGTGGTGATTTGGTCTATGGAGTATAGTGCTCCCGGTGGCGTCTTCGCGTGAGTGGTGGCTTTGTCGGGATGATTGCGGAGCAAGGCTCTGTGGTAGGCTTTCTTTATGAGTTTGGCGGCGTCTGGTGAGTCGTCGATGATGGAGGGCGTGAGGTTGAGGATCTCATAATGTGTAGGGGGGTGTGGTGGTCTCATTCTGGGTGAAGCCCGGAGCGGGTGTGATTTTTCTTTTCTTTTCTTTTCTTTTCAGAAATTAAAGTTATGCCGGACTCCGGAGGCTTTTTTATTCTGCCCCAGAGGGTGGTTGATGTCGGGAGTGGTGACTTTGGTGGTGTGAATTTCATGATTGGTCACGTGATTTGGTGATGGGGAGTCGTAGTGGTTTTGGAGATCATGTTACATGTTGTATTGAACTCTGTATAAATACATATATGCAGGTGTTGATTCTTTTTGTGTAGAGTTAGGGTTTTCGATTAGCTTTTGTGATGCGCAGAATTTCAATCGAATCATTTCCTTTGTAGATACATTCAATACACGCATCTGGGTTTAAAGAATACAATGCTGGGTATGAAGTTTTTATTTTCTTTTGGTGATACAATAAAATATACAAGAGTATACACAGTGCCTCCCGAGAACGGCACATCCATCACTGCCATGGCCGTTTGGTTTATTTGGGCCATTTGGTCCAGTTCCTCTTTCCCACCTGTTTACCTGGTTAGCAAATGAGACTTGGACAGCGGCTTGTTCTTTTTGGTTTTTTTTTTTTCCTTTATACGTACCCTCTTCCAAGCCTTGATCAGCTTGGGCATCTCTAGCATTGCCTTTCTTCTCTCTTCCATCCTGAACACTATCGTTAGCATAACTGCCGCAAGGAGCCCACAGGCTTGAGGTTTTGTTAGAGTCGACATACTTTGCAATCATGTGTCGTTCGTGAATGTGACCCTTGACCTTTTGTCCCACACCGGTACCCTTCACTCTCAAACCGTGCTCGACGCGGTGTGCGAGTCGGTATTCGGTCCCCTTGGTCGTCTCGGGAAGCAGATCCTCGACGCCGTGCTCGCGTGCTAATTGTACGAGCTGTGCTTGTCGGCGGTGTGAGTA